ATAATTAAGGGAGAGAGAGAGAGAGAGAGAGAGAGAGAGAGTGAGAGAGAGTGAGAGAGAGTGAGAGAGAGGGAGAGAGGGAGAGAGAGAACGCAGAGGAGAGCAAGTTCAATGAATCGCAATCCGCCAAATGATTTAACGTATATTTTCTTGACATTTTCATCAGGCACGTTTGGATTTCATGCGATTCTTACCGGTGGCACGCCGGCAGGCAGTTCAGTCCTGCCGTGTAACTTGAACATGAAGATTACGTTCACGTGCGACCCGAACGCATCCTGGATGTTGGTGGGAAACTTTAGTGTTGTGCCGAAACCGAGTTTTCTGCACTATACGCCGTCGAATTGTACCGTAGGTATTCACCCAGTGTTTAAATTTTAAAGCACGCCATACATTTAGAATTTACGGGTGATTTAAAATCTTGAGTATTGTTGCTTTGCATCACCATTCATTGAAAACTGATTTCACTGTTTTAGTTCAATGTATAATTCACGGTAAATAAATACCTTTAGAATTGTTTTGGAATACTTGAGATTTGAAGCTAATTTTATAGTAAAATGTACATGCACTGTAAGCCCTTTATCTGTTTTGCAGTACCTCATGCAGCTTCCTTATGATGGAGCTTGCTACAGCATGCCGACTGCAGCCCCCATACCGTCAAGTTCCTCTACAGGCATAAGTGTTGGTTCCATCTTACTCATTGTGTAAGTATACTCTCTGTTATGACTTAAAAAACTATCTGTGAAGGTAAGATGTTATGTATGTAAACCTATTGCAATTAGATTGTGGTGATTGTTTATTGTACACACATTAAGGTATGAAGCTGTCATATGATGTAGTTGCATAATTTCTTGATATTGTCCCAATGCATTATCCAATACTGAACTCCCACGTGAGAGCAATATCAGCAAGTCGTGAGGGAAATGACATGAGTTACGGAAAGATTCATTGCCCCGTTGAGTGAAGAGATTGGGGACCAAGCAGGTTGTAGCTGTATGGGGCTGTAACACATCTGAGTTCCCAAGGGTTCTTACTTTATATACTTACCAAAATAAATATGATATATATACTCACCAAATATATATACTATTTTTATAACCGTATCACACCATAGCATTAACCGCTCACGAGTATCAACCCTGCTTCCTGCAGCTGTATCATCAGGTTTAATTAGAAGCTAGGGAAGCATGAAGCGGTGGTATTTTAAAATTAACTGGCCATGTCAGCCTAGTGTGTCGTCATCTGTCTATTGAATAATTAGATAGCGAAGCAACAAGAAAATAAGCTCTTCCAGAGCTGTGTAAAATGCAAGATTGAAGATAAGCAGGTTGGCTGCACTTATTTGGGGGAGAAATCTCCGGAAAATGTGGTTTAGGGGAAAAAACAGTACGTGTACAATTACCATTTCATCTAACCCATGATTTCGTGAGGATTATTAAAAATATTTTGAGGAAACATCAATGGTTTTCGTGTTGATGTTACGTGAGCCTGCCACTCCACCTACCAACTCACTCTCCCAAATACCTGTCTACTGATCTACTTGTGTAACTAGACAGAGGGCACTCAAAAAAAGTGCATACCTCCGCATTAGTGTAACATGTATACATGTGTATAACAGCTGGCTCGCTGCTGGCTGCTGCTGGCTGGACGCCTTAAGGCGAGCTGCTGCTGACTGGACGGCCTAAGGCGAGCTGGTGCTGAATCGATCGCGCCAACGCGTGTAACATGTATACATGTGTATAACAGCTGGCTCGCTGCTGGCTACACACACACACACGTACACACACACGAACACATACACGGGAGCGATTACATTACCTCCCTGCAACTCTGTTGCGCGGAGGTAATAATCTAATGTAGTATCGTGTGATGCTGATTTCAGGTTCTTCACTGGAAGTATATCCTACCTCATACTCGGCTGTGTTTTTAATTACTCCAATGGCGCTGTTGGCAGAGAACTCTGGCCACACTACGAGTTCTGGGTCGATCTTCCTGAATTAATAAAGGTAGGGCAATGCAAGAGGCCACCTGTCAGTTCACATGCTCCTAATTCTTGCATAGTTGTCTGCATTTAAAAAAAAGATCTGTGTGAAGTTCTATGTTGTTTACGGATACACGTGTGTGTCAGTCCTAATTATTGTTTGCAGTTTCCTGGTGATTGTGGTAGCAGGCATCACTTCCTGTTTTTGTACTCAATTCAGAATGTCTCGTAGTTTCTGTGGGAACATAAGTAGAGAACAACTGATTTTTGTGTGTCCGTCATGCACGTGTAGGTTAAGCAGTATTTAAGGTCGTCATCGAGGCTTGATTTCCTTTGCTTTTTTCTCTCACAAGGATGGTTTCATATTCACATTCAAAGTTCTCACCTGTACGGACGCTCACCTAGGACCACAATACGAGGCCATCTGATGACGGCTCTCACTTCTTCTCGGAGACGAACCAGATCCCTAGCTCAGGTTTTTCATCGTTAAGTCAGTGTTTCTCATTGCTCTAATGCGCATGTTGGGAGATCTCCATCGTGTTAGTTCATAGGTCAGTTTATTGGAGTGTACGTGCGTGTTGGCAGTGAAGTGTGATTACATTCTCTCACCCGCATTCTGTGTACGTGAAAAGCATCAAAGTTCCTGTTGCATTTTTGTGTGTGACAATTATTTTTCTAATGTCTAGGATCTTTGAAAGGTATACAGAATCTGAGGTCCGATGCCAAAAAACACTTGGCAAAGTTACTCTAATGGTAATGGTTTTAATTTAAATTGCTGAATTAATCAGTAAAACTGTTAAGGCTAAGTAATATTAGAACGATGAGCATAGAAACTGTGATTAATATAACGAAGGACACTGTAGCACACGCATAAATGAGATTAGCATGCATTATATTTTCGCACGTTACAGGGAATCCTATGGGTTTTTAAGTGAATATTTTAGTGTGAAATACTTGATGTACCGTAATTAAGCTGACCCCCTTCCTTTAATCACATCAAGAGTATCTTTCAACTGTTAATGTACCAGTACTCACTCATTCAACGCGAAATGAGATTTTTCAGTGCATGCATGCATGCGTGTGTGCACTGTAAGGGATGGTGTAATTTGTCTTAGAACACAGCTCGCTCGTTCTCTAGTTTAATATCAGTGCGCTACTTCAGCAGGCCACTAATATCTGTTAATGTTTGGAATACAGTGAACCTGTGTAAATCGAAGAAGATACATAGGTTCTTCCAGTCTCCATATATATATACATACATATGCATATATACCATATATACATATATATATATGTATACATGTATGAATGTATCTTCCAATTCCAATCTTCGCATCACGTTTCGTGAACAAATGTGATTTTCGGCAAATACTTGCTCGTCTATGTATAAGCCGACATTAGCATTCCGGTGCATAAGTCACCATCATCACCACCTACAACGATGACCCGTAACCCATAACCCTACATATACCTAACCCAACCTATACCTAACCCCAGCCTAGAACTAACCCCAACTAGACATAACCTCAGCCTAGACCAAACCCCAACCTAGTCCTGAACCTAACCTAAACTTTAACCTAACTTAACCTCTTATCCTAAACACTTTATAAAAACCGGGGTGTATTTGAAGTATGAAAATTATAGTAATATATCTTATAATCCTTTATCGCAATTGGGTGTAAAATGTTTGTATTGAAATTATTTTTTTCCAGTCGCATGTACTTAGGAATTGTATACCGTCGGCATATGTAAATAGGTAGTAATAAATTCTTCTGAGGTCACTGCTATATGATGTAAAGTAAACTTTATGTGCGCGAGGCGATTTCAATCCAGTAAAAGGAATCTTAATCGTAATTATATGTATGATGTTATCCACAAATATAAAGAAAAGTCATTTTCCACGACTAAACAGTGTTAAATGATTACACGCAAGCCATTTAAAAAATAATTTCTTTCGTAAATATTGAACCACAAATGTAGTATGATAACTGTAAATGAAAATGTGAATTTAATTCACGACGAAAATTAATCAGATTCTTCTATATATTCACGTTAGTGACGTAAGCAATGTTGAATAATAAGTGGATTGAATGAAATATGAAGACGTCTGTAGTTTAATGAAGCAAACTCACTGGTAATGATATTTATAATTTACGTTCACGAATGAGAAGCAATTTACAAAATATATACATACAGTATAAGTCCAATAAATCAACGCATTAAATACTCTACCGAAGGTCATCGTAAACCGAAAAACATAAAATAAGATCAAACTCACAAAGCGTTACCATTTGGTCCACTGGTGGTGACACGTTTGATTCGCGTTTGACTTTATTTGATGGCTGAAAATACAATAGATGAGGTTCATTAACACAGTTCGCGTTGTTAGTGAAATGAGTGAATTAGCAGTTAGTGATTCTAACAGGATTTACATGATGGTATAGATACCTATATATCTATCTTATGTCACTCGTGTTTATATTAGCGAACGATGCTTTTGCTTACGATGTTTTAACTAAAAACGTCTGCGTGTGTATTGTAGAATCGCGTACAAAGAAATCGAATTTCGTTTGAAGCGAGAATGATTCGACCTTAATCGATTAGGTTTATTGGACTTTCACCGTATGTGAAACAAACAGGAAATATCATGTGACATTTTCATTACAACAGAGAATGTAACGAAAGTAAAGTTAAACAACAAATGAGGTTCGTAACTGAATCAGTTCATATGTGATAATCGATGAATAATATCCTATAATAAACAATGTATCAAATAGTCATCATTTCATATAGCAACAAATTAAATCATTCTGGGCATCATTTAATCCAAAAGATATGGATTATAATATATGACAATAATATGCACGTACTATGAAGCGAACATTTCTCACTACGTACGTTGGGTTCGCTGAACAAATTATTCGTATAAACGCATATCTTCGCCACTTGATGGCGCCACATGAGATGGTTCTTACACACGGAGATTCCTCTGCCCTCTTCTGGCTCCCGCATTATATTGGAATCAGGTCGAGTTCTGTTCAAGACTGTGAAGTGCATTGCACTAGCAATATTTATTCATAATATATACACGAAGTTATTTATGATTAACGACAATACAATCATATATTTTCAAACGCGTGTAATTTGGATGGACGCACATATATACACTCTATACACACTTAACTACTGTCAGTCAATGTCATCTCTCTCGGGGAAGAAAAAAAGACGTTACGAACGGTCGTTATATATACATATACGTAAACTCGTGCGTGCGTGCTTGCGTGCGCGCGTGTCTGTGTATGGGTGTGTGCGTTCGTACGTGTTTGTATGTGTGCGCGCATGTGTGTGCGTCCGTGCGGGCATGTGTGTGTGTGTGTGTGTGCTGTGTGTGTGTGCGTGCGTGCGTGCGTGCGTGCGTGCGTGCGTGCGTGAATGTTCGCAAAGGTCGCGCGCGCGTGAATGTTCGACAATCGACGACAAAACATTGACACAACACTTGTATATGAACACGATGATGATGCGGTGAATGTTCCCGTGTGTCGCACGGACGCACGAGGTGACACGGACGACGCCGTGACGTCACGTGTTACGTCATCGTCACCGCCTCATGGCGGAGTGCTTCGTTAGTTACTGATCTCCATTACTAACCTAGATACCTAACACGCCGTCCGTTATGCTAGTCAGTGGCTATCTGCTTTCACGCGCGATCTCGCCGCCTCGCTCCCACTATCGTTCGTTCTCTCTTTCTCTCTCTCTCTCTCTGTCCTTCTCTTGTGCTCTTCCCGCACTTTCTCGCTCGCGCGTGCGCGCTCTCTCTCCGACTCTTCCTCTAACTCGCGCTCTCTTTATCTCTCTCTCTCTCTCTCTCTTAATCTTTCTCATACCCCCTCCTCTCTCTCTCTTTCTCACACCCTCTCTCTCTCTCTCTCTTTCTTTTTCACACCCCCTCTCTCTCATTCTTTTTTTACGCGCTCTCCCTCTCGCCCACGCATGCTCGCTCTTCTGCAGCAGTCTACACATTTCAATACTTAACCCGACCGCGCGATGTAGAGCAAGCTTGCCACAATGCTCGCGACGTATCCCACATAACACCTTTGCCATTATCGAATCGATATTATCCGTAGAAAAATACTCGAGCTTTCCGCGCGCGCTCGAGAGCAATTGTCGTCTGGCGGCTGGCGGCTGGCGGCTGGCGGCGTCGTCATTGCACTCATTAATGTCCGTAGCAGCGGCAAACACGCGGTGCCGCAGGCTTCACGCACGCGGCGGCCGCTGCGGTGCCGTCACCTTCTCATTACGAGAGATGCATTAACGTTGCCCAGCTCTGCTCAGTTCCTCTCCAGCGATTGTCCTCGGAAATAATATAGTAATGCGTGTGTGTGTGGGGGGGAGGGGTTGTGTGTGTGTGTGTGTGTGTGCGTGCGTGCGCGTGCGTCTGTGTGTGCGCGCCTGTGCTCGCGGATGTGTGTGTGTGTGTGTGTGTGTGTGTGTGTGTGTGTGTGTGTGTGTGTGTCGTGTCGTGTGGTCCACCATGCTTATGTGACATGATGCCACCTATGGCTTTGTGACATGGTCACACATGCTTAGTGAATTGGTCACCATGGCTAGTGGACATGGTCACCATGCATAGCTGACATGGTCACCCATTGCCTAGTGACATGATGCACCTATGCTTGTCGTATGCCAGAGAGAATATTGGCGATTTCTGCTGCCCAGCAGACACCTTCTAATTTAAAAGATATATGGCACACCTGTCCCTTCTATAGGAAGCTTAAATATATAATTTCATGCAGGAGATTTTACGGGGAGTTCTTAGGATATAAACCTTATATACATATTTTGATGCATAATGGCAGCTATGCAGAACATAACGCATGTGGTTGATTTTACACTGTGCCGCAGTTTGCTGTATAGATATGCTAATATATATATATATATATGTATAATGTTAAATGCTCGCCTGGTTCTTCCAGAATGCCGGGCAGCTGTCTCTGCATGGACTCCTCCTGAGACCGGTAATGCTGCCTTCATTCGTGCACACAGGCTCAACGTCACTGCAATAGTGATGATTAAAATAATAACGTGATGAAAAAGATGACAACAAATGTTTACACGGCGCGCTAGTAATCGGTGATGACAGCGTCAGTAAAGCGCATGCACGAAGTGTAGTGAAACGCAAAGTCTGGAAATACATTCTGCAGTAAATTGCATGCGTAGCAATGATGCCACATTGTAGGCAGTATTCTAGTCGTACGCCTCGTCGTTTAGATCGCGTCTCCTCCTCTAAGCCCCATGCAAAGTATTTTAATTACTATAAGGCCACAATTAAAAGAATCTTATGTTTGCCCTCACCCCGACACTAGGCTGAAAGTCTTCGCGGTAGGTAGGGTAGGCTATTTTTTTTTTTTAATCATAAGGTCGTTTCTTCAACGGGCTGTCTTGTACTATACGGGTCGCTTGCCGCCCGCCGCTGCTCTATTTGCTGATATATTGTTAGCGCGCTTCGCTGTTTGTGGCTACTGCTGCTTTTGTTTTTACCGATGGCTGCGCTGTCCATTTTCTGCGTAACACACATCTGTCCTGTGCTGCCTACTTCGCCGCACCCGCTGCTGTTGCTGCTGCTGCTGCGCCGTCACTGCTGCTGCTGTCACTGCTGCTGCTACTCCCGCCGTCGCTGCGTTGCGGCTCTGTGTAGGCTTGCGCCACGTTTCACACGATGATGTCGAGATACTGTGGCGAGCTTGTTTCGGACGGCGGTCAGCTTGCTGCGGACTGTCCTTCATCGCGGTCTCTCGGCCGGATTCTTCAACCAGCAGCTCAGCATGATGTTGTAGACCGCCTTCGGACAGACGGGGGTCGCTCGAGAATGTGTCCGCCTGAATGGGGTGATCACCTACGGAAACAACAATAAACTAGAGCACTCGAAGAGCACAGACCTCTGCCAAGGCAGCTCAATTCCTCTCACTGTAAAAAATTTTTATTAATTAATTAATTAGATCCGGATCACACCAAAATGTAATCATTCCTGAGTTACCCCATTTCTGACCTATCCTGAAAATGTAATTAATTAATTAATTAATTAATTGGATCCGGATCACCAGCAAAATGTAATCAATTCTAAGTTACCCCATTTCTGACCTATCCTGAAAATGTAATTAATTAATTAATTAATTAATTGGATCCGGATCACCACCAAAATCTCATCAATTCTAAGTTAGGCGATTTCTGACCTATCCTGAAAATGTTATAACAATCCGTCCATAACTGTTTCAGTTAGGCTGTACACGCACAAACCAACAAACACACGCCGGTGAAAACATAACCTCCTGCCAACCCCTTGGCGGAGGTAATAACAGCTAATAACAACGGGGCAGCCGACCGTTACGTAAAACGATCGAGAAATAACACTGATGTCAGAAATGCAACGCAGTGCTCACGATGCTATCGATGTACTAGTGGATTCCTCGTGTTTTCTTTTATTCCCGAGTTGACATCGTTTCTCAAGCGTGTTTCTGATTGGTTTCCTATATTATATATCTTAGATTATCTTTCCTATATTAGATTTCCCGTGGGACGAACGCACGCTGAAGGCTTATTCGCTTCGCATCGTATTATTAAAAGTAATTATTAAGTTATTATCAGAGCAATTAATTATCATATTTATTAAATATTGATAATATGCTATTATCATTATTATTATTAGTAGTAGTAGTATTAGGATTATCCGCATTATTATCTTCGTCGTCGTCATCATCACCACCATCATCATCATCATCATCATCATCGTCGTCGTCATCGTCATCACCGTCATCGATATTAATAATAAAGTTAATAACAATAATATTATTATTATTATTAATATTATTATCACCATCATCATTATATATGTACGGCATTCGCACCTCGTGATTGGCCAGCTGGTACCAGGGCTGCTTGCCGAACGTGAAGATCTCCCACAGCACGACGCCGAAGCTCCACGTGTCCGACTCTATCGTGAACTTACGGTAGATGATGCTCTCCGGCGGCATCCACCGCACGGGCAGCATCGTGTGTCCGCCCACCTGCAGACACGCCATCGTAGTCAGTTACATAGCAACCCGTCCCTCTCCCAGCGTGTATAGGTGCAGCTAGATAGATATCTGGTAGGTAGTAAGATTGCGCAGAAATTCTTCCCTGGGATGGATGGATGGATGGGTGTGTGTGTGTGTGTGCGCGCGCATGTGTGTGCGCGCCTGTGTGTGTGTGTGTGTGTGCGTGCGTGCGTGCGCGTGCGTCTGTGTGTGCGCGCCTGTTCTCGCGGATGTGTGTGTATACACGCGTGCGTGCGTCTCCGGTACCTGTCATCACGTGGCACCGTGTTTACGGGGAGCATCGCCGACTATATTCCATTGTCAGCGGTAATCAGCAGCAGCAGCGGCCGCACTCGTACGAGCGGAGTACGCGCAGCATCCTCGGCACGCCTTTAATTAACGCTCCGTTAATTAGGTAGCCGCCGTCGGCACCCCGCCGTGTGACGTCACCGGGACCGCAGCCGACGACGATCGGGGTTCGAGTCTCGGTAGAGTAGCTCACTGCAGACACACCGTGTGTGGCGGACTCGCCCAGGGGAAATGTACGGCTAGCTATAGTGAGCGAGCAGCAGCAGCGGTGATGAAGCAGTGTTTAGGCGTCAGGTGGGACTTTTCATTAGTTAGTCATTCGTCTCTACCGACGTTAATCAACGCTCCGTAGGCGTTGAGGTTTTTTCATCGACAACGCAGCCCGATATTTATTAAAGAAAGGCTTTAATCAAGGCGTTCCTTCAACGGCTGCTGCTACTGCTGCCGGCGCTGCCGCCGCCGCTGCTGCTATTGCTGGTGTTGTTGCCGCCGCTGCTGTTGCTGGCACTGCTGCTGTTACCGATGCTGCTGCTGCCATCGCGCCCACTGTTGCTGCTACTTCCGCCGCCACCGCTGCTGTTGCTGCTGCTGCTGCCGCCGTCACTGCTGCTGCTGTCACTGCTGCTGCTACTCCCGCCGTCGCTGCGTTGCGGCTCTGGTGTAGGCTTGCGCCACGTTTCACACGATGATGTCGAGATACTGTGGCGAGTTGTTTCGGACGGCGGTCAGCTTGCTGCGGATGTCCTTCATCGGCGGTCTCTCGGCCGGATTCTTCAACCAGCAGCTCAGCATGATGTTGTAGACCTCGTTCGGACAGACGGTGGGTCGCTCGAGAATGTGTCCCGCCTGAATGTGGGTGATCACCTACGGAAACAACAATAAACTAGAGCACTCGGAGAGCACAGACCTCTGCCAAGGCAGCTCAATTCTCTCACTGTAAAAAAATTTTATTAATTAATTAATTGGATCCGGATCACCACCAAAATCTCATCAATTCTAAGTTAGGCGATTTCTGACCTATCCTGAAAATGTAATTAATTAATTAATTGGATCCGGATCACCACCAAAATCTCATCAATTCTAAGTTAGGCGATTTCTGACCTATCCTGAAAATGTAATTAATTAATTAATTGGATCCGGATCACCACCAAAATCTCATCAATTCTAAGTTAGGCGATTTCTGACCTATCCTGAAAATGTAATTAATTAATTAATTGGATCCGGATCACCACCAAAATCTCATCAATTCTAAGTTAGGCGATTTCTGACCTATCCTGAAAATGTAATTAATTAATTAATTGGATCCGGATCACCACCAAAATCTCATCAATTCTAAGTTAGGCGATTTCTGACCTATCCTG